AAACATGGTAGCTACTTAGTCATTTTGTCAAATATTGCATTAGTATTTGTCAAATACATATTTTTTTTGTATTCTGTTTTAGGACTTAGTATTGCTATCCATGCAAGTGCGCGTGTGTGTGTGTGTGCACACGCACGCATGCATGCACACATGAATGTTACATATAAAATATTTCCTAGTCTTAATATACTCTGCCTCTGATTTCAGAGCAGATTTAGATATTTAAAAATTCATCCACGCTTCTACTTTACACTTTAGCATAAAAATCAATTGATGTTTAACACTCACTGGCATACATCAGCTCATGTTTAGTTGGAGATCTGAACCATTTGAAATTGTTGCCAGTGTTTTATTTCTCTGAGTCACTGGATGAAAGGAAATATGCTTCAGATGTCATCATAGCACTGGTATAGGGCAGAGCTCTCAGGGGTTCAGCAGCCTTGATTTGCCCAAGCATATATGACAGTAAGTGTTACAACAAGGATACCAATGCATGTCCTCCTCGGCAGCTTGTAAGTTGTTGTTGGGCGTGTTATTTCTGGTGTGTGTGTGTGCTGAAAAATGCCCATGCATCCACAAAGAAGGATTAGCCTCCTTATCCTAGTTCAGTCATTTTCCTTGGGTTTTCACTAGGTTTGACCTGCTAATGTTCTCATGATTGCCGCAGGTAATCACTGTTCAAGGATGACCAAGCCATCAGTCATTTTTCCTGTTGTCGCATTTCTGTAGTGAGTCAGATTCCCTGGTTAGCATTCAAATGGCTTCATCTCTATTACCTCCTGTACAGAAAATACAATGTTACAATAAATTGAGTGCTTAACAATGAACATGTTGAATGTATGTTTCTTACTAGCCTTTTAAATAAGTGTGTGTGTCTGGAGTCTGCATTTTATACTTACCATTTTTCAAGTAAGTTTTTAAATTATTGCGTCAAGTTCAGAGGCTTTATTTCCTCCATGCATTTTGCACCTAATAGGCGCCTCACAAATATTTGTCAAAATGAATTTAATCTTCCTCCATGATAGTGTAAAAGTGAGTTTGTGAGCACACAGTTCAGACGTTCTTAATAAAGGTGACAGAGCAAACACACAACATTCCTTTGAAGAATTTCCAAGATCAGATAGCTTGTATTTGAAACAGTTAAGATAAGATGATCTGAATGTGTGACTCCACTCTGAACTTGTATATTTTATGATGAAGCCAAGAGACCCTTGGAATTTGATGGATGTTCATCTTCCTTTAGCTCAGCTGAGCGTAACATATTATAATACCAAACACAGTGGTGGTCAGCTGTGCAATCTCCATGCATATAGCTAAAATCCTACCCTCACAGCTTTGCAGGATCCCCACGTTTTATTGCAATAAGACTTTATGTGTTAGGACAGTAAAATTCATTGTCATACGTGGGGCTGGTGGTATCAGAAATCACGGCTCGTCCACAGGACCTTTGAGTCAGCCATTCTCTCTTCTCCCCTTTAATCTCCCTCTAGTCTTTTCTTCTAAGCTTTGTATTTTGCTTTGTCTTCCTCTTTTTCTGACCATGAATTGCTCTTACGTACAATTTTTGCCTTGGCGACACAATCGCTAGCCCTGTAGTTATTAGCGATGAGTGGAGATGCTCACAATCCTGTCCAGGTACCCTGGCACCAGACACCAGAGAACCTCTTACAGGTCCGAGCGTGTGAATTGGCTGATGGCTCACCTCCCAGAGACACAAGTCAGGGCCCCTCTGGAGGCTCAGCGGGCACAGGTCTGTGGACATTAGAGCTTAACAGTCGACTGTGTCCTCTCCTGTTTTGTCTGTTCTTCCAGTCATGCCTGCTGTTTCAACAATTTCTTTACCAAATTTGTTTGATTTTTTTCATTTGTTGGTATTAATGGTCTCTCTCCTAAAATAAATTTTATAGATATTTACTGGATGGACAGTATCTCCTAAAGAAGTGTGATGGGTTCTCTGTTTCACCTAATGCACTTAGCACCGAATCCCTCCTACCTGGTATCATGTCTGCCTACCTAAGGTTGACAGAAGATGTCTTACCTCTTGCTGTGTTTCACCAACTCTCATGCCTAGAAGAATGGCTGGCTATAGTACATAGAAGCCATCGCCTTTATCAATAATAATTTTCATATCAAGGCTATGTTAGATATATTATGAATATATAATTTTATGTATTATTCAATTAGTGTAGGTTGACACAAAAAGAATTAAGCATTGTACCTGACATTCCACATTTTCAAATCCAATATTTGAAAAAGCAAATACAAGCACTGTTCTTTTAGAAACAGAAGGGTCACGCACCTGTTCTTCAAGGTAGCCTGGCCCTGCATTCTCAGCATGACGCTGCCTTCAGCTTCCCTCATCCGGTTGGCTTCTGCCTCCTTGCAGCCCATGTCCGTGACTCTGGTCTTGCTTCTTTTAAGCCAGCATTGCTGGTGGAATAAATATATAAAAAACTCAATTTGATCATGTTACTCTTCTCCTGAAGGCCTTTATGCAGTAGTTCTCAGGCGTCACTGCATTAAGTCATCTGGGATACTCATTGGACATATTCTGGCCCTTTCTCCAAGGGATGGATTAGAGGGTGAGGTCCCATCCAGAGCCTGTATTTTAAGCACGCGCCTCTGCTGATTCTGAGAGTCTTGGGGTGGCCCTCGCGCCTCTGTGCCAGCCCACGGTCCTTCATCTTCTCACCCGCATTTCATCATATGCTCCCTAAGCTGTTTCCCTCTTCGCCCTGCCATCTCGCTGCCAAGCCAGCTCTTCCACAGTCACAATACCCTTCCATGAGGTCCCCCGACTCCCAAGATGGGCTCGGGGCTTTCTCCAGCAGGTCCCTCGTTGTCCCTTGCAGGCCGCTCTACAGTGGCACCATCTGTGAGACTTTGTGATGCTCTCCCTACAGGTCATTATCGTCACGTTTGTGCTCCTTGACGCCTGTGACTAGCAAACCATCCGATTTACCTTCAGATCCCCCAGGTCTTCTACAAATGTGGTGAATGCAGAAGAAATGAATTAAATATAGGAATGAAATTCAGAAAGTCTTGATTTTCTTTGTAGTGGAAATTTATACTACATGTACCTTAGGTTCTTTGGAAATAATAGAAATGCTATAGCAATACTTACTTTCTGCCTGCCTTTATACCTCATTCATTCAATTTAGGGCAAACATTTATATGAAGGAGGCAGAATTAGAGATAATTCTGGAAAAATTTTTTGGAAGAGCAGCCCCTTGAGATGCTTCCTGAAGGATGGTGTAGCTCAGCGGCAGCAGGGAGGTTGTGATTTCCTTGACAACTAGTTTGAGCAGGTTTTTCCTGATGTTTATTGACTATTTGTCTTCCCTTCCTATCATGTCCTTAGCCATGGCTTATTTCCCCCCTTTAATTTGACATTGGTGCTTTCCCTCTTGATTTGAAGAAATAGTTATGTAGATTATAGCTTTTCATCAGTCCTCTTGCTGGCACAGTTTATTCCCATTTCTTTCATGCCTATCAATGTTTTCATGGCAGTGAACTTTTATTTTTAATATATTTGGAAAACCCCTTCTCTTCCTGAGATCAGATATGGTTGCCTATATTTTTATTTAGTTTTTAAAGTAATTTTGTATTTTGCTTAATACCCCATGATGATGGCAGCTTCTTTTTTTTTTTTTAAGATTTATTTATTTATACAAGCACTGGGGTACAGGCCAGAGGCGCGGGAGGGTGAGAGGATTCACCAGAGCCAGAGCGGGGAGCAGAGCAGGCGGAAGGACGGAAGTACACTGCTGAGGGGAGCAGCGGGCGAGACAGCTGCCGCGCCATGTGGGACCCTTGCCAGCCGGCTGGGAATTGAACCGGCGCTGCAGAGGCTGCGGACAGCTTCACAGTGCTGCGCTCAACCCGCTCTGCCACCAGGGAGGCCCAGATGGCAGTTTCTTGGCAGAGGAGTGGCATGACTGGATTCGGGCTTCGAGGAAGCCCTGTGGCTCAGTGGAGGTTGGGTGGGGGTGAGGGGTAGACTGAGGCTGTGAGACCTGCTTAGAGGCGAGGAGGTGGGCGAAGGGAGGGTCCAGTTGGTCTATAGGTCCGGGAGTCCAGTAGGTTTAGGGGAGGGTGGAGATCAGGCCGTATTAAAGATGAGATTCTCTGGAATGTCCAAGAAGAAGCAGTTGGAGACATAGGATTGAAACTACCTTAGGAGACCAGTCTGACTGCTGATGGGACATGGAGAGCCGTTAGCGTGCAGCCCAGAGTTCTAGTGTGGCTGGAAGATAAGTTGTCAGGGCAGCAGACACATGAGGCAGTCAGAAGGAGAAGGTACTTTCTGGAAGCTGGGAGGGGTGACTTTCTAGTCTATTCTTTCTTTTTATTTACTCATTCTCTCTCTCTGAAAAAAAAAAAAAAAAACAGCATCAGATTCTGGAGCATTAAGGGGAGAGGGTCTGGAAAATTTCCATTGAATTACTACTTTCAATAAATTTGACTATAAGGGACAGGAGAGGGAGAGACAGAAAGGAGGACGTGTGGTCTGAGGGTAACGCTTTTTCTCCAATCCAATTAGATTTGAACATGTTCTCTGTTGAGGAAAAGGAATCTGTGAACAGGGAGAGCTTGTGAGTAAAGTAGGAATTTAATTTAAAAGGATGAGTGTCGTGATACACAGGTTATCCTTTCAGGTTGAATGATAATTCGTGCACGTAAGTAACCAAAACACTTTTTAATCTGCTCAGGGAGTAAAGAGATTCCTTGCTTCAATAGTAAACTTTTTTATTTCCTTGTTTTTTAAAAATTGACAATTTTATAGTTGTCCTAGCATACCTTTTTTCTTAACTGTGTTAAGTCCGTATCTTTTATATGTTGATCATTAGCAAAGTTATTTGAGTTACTTTTAATGATCTAGGCACCTTACAAGGCAGTTTAAGATGCATTTAAATTCCTCTGACTGTTTATTGCTTGTTAAGGAATATATGAGATCAAACACTTTAATGATAACACTCTCTTAAAAATATTTATTGCAGGGAAATTTACCTAAATATTCTCATAACTCCCTGATGGTTCAAGCAATAAAAACAAACTTAACAGACCCGGATATACACGTGCTCTTCTTTGACGTGGAAGCGCTGATTATTCAGCTCCTCACCGAGGAAGCCTCCAGGCCGAACACAGCACTTATTTCCCCGGAGAATTTGCAAAAAGCATCTGGCGGTTCAGACAAAGGGGGCTCTTTCCTAACTGGAAAACGAGCAGCAGTCCTCTTCCAACAAGTGAAAGAGACCATCAAAGAGAACATAAAGGAGCATCTCCTGGACGATGACGAGGAGGACGAGGAGACAATGCGGCAGAGAAGGGAAGAAAGTGACCCTGAGTACCGGGCCAGCAAATCGAAGCCACTGACCCTGTTAGAATATAATTTAACTATGGACACAGCCAAACTCTTCATGTCCTGCCTTCACGCCTGGGGTCTGAACGAAGTTCTGGATGACGTCTGTCTGGATCGTCTTGGAATGCTGAAGCCCCACTGCACGGTGTCGTTCGGTCTCTTATCCAGGGGAGGTCATATGAGCCTGATGCTTCCTGGTTATAATCAAGCTGCTGGTAAACTACCTCTCGGGGAAGCAGAAGTAGGAAGGAAGCCGCCAGCAACAGAGGGAGTAGGAAAAGGAACTTATGGGGTGTCCCGAGCTGTCACCACCCAACATCTCCTGTCTATCATATCCTTGGCAAATACCTTAATGAGTATGACCAATGCCACTTTTATTGGTGATCACATGAAGAAGGGCCCTACCAGGTGTGACCACGAGAGCTTGATTTTATTCTTATGTTTAAGAAAAATCTGTTTCCTGTTGTCACTGTTTCTTACTATTTTTTTTTTAGCTCTACACACTTTAATGTGTTTGTGTTATTCGTTTCTCCTTTAAATTTAAGGATACAGTATTTGAAACAGAGTATATTCTGTGCTCAGCCATATTTAGTAGCTCTTTAAAAAAAGCATTTGGAATGAGGGCATAGTCACAGTTTAGCTTTAATAAATGAATCATAGATTAGTTCTTCATAAATATAATCTTAGCGTTGCATCTGCTTCAAGTTTTCAGTAACATTCTATCCAAAAATGTATATTTGATTGAATGCTTCTTACTATGACTCATGGAATGAAAGACCTGTGTGAAGTATAATTAGGATTTTCCGAAGGTAAAAGAGAAAGTGACTGTTAAGTACAAAAGAGGAGTATTTTAATATTTCTAGAATACCTAAGCTAAATTGCTATTTCTTTTTTTCAGAAATCTGGAAGACAACTTTATAAACTGGTTTTATTATATACTTTTGAAAGTTGATCATATTAATAATTTTTTTTTAATCAAACAAATACTGAAGTAGCACTTACCATGTCTCTGGCTCTATGGTGGATACTATCTCGTTAATGCTCTTGATCCTATGAAGAGTGTACTTATGTTATCCCTTACTATAGATGAGGAGGCTGAAACACACAGAGAGGAAGTGACTTGCCCAAGGTCACACAGCTAGGTAGTGGTAGAGACAAAATTCAGAACAGACTTAGTCTGCCTTTAGAGTCCAAGCTTTCTTCATGTCTTACTACATTTTTCACATTTTAGGACTACTTTTAAACCCAGTGTGTATTGTTCCCTGAATTTATTTGCACAACGATATATAATAGGCTAAAATCTCAGCGCATTATAATGAGGGATGAAGGACTAATTATTATATTTATCAATCAGTAATAATACATTAAAGTAAGACTATTAAGCTAGTATAAAGCATAAATTGTAGATACTATTTTTATGTGATACTTACTATTTAATTTATCATATTAAAATTTGAAATGGAAAATATTAATAGGTACAAAACAAAGCCCCCATCTTTTTGGAACAGTGAATTGAAATGTTCTTTATTTGTTCTTTTTTGCATTTCATTTGGAACTAGAAAGTTTAATATTTTAAGTGGCTTTATAAACAAAAAATATAAATCTATATATGTATTTTTTTTTGTTTTTTAAAGGCCGCCTAGACCAAGCACCCCAGACCTTTCTAAAGCAAAGGGTTCTCCCCCAACTTCCAGTAATGTTGTACAAGGACAGATTAAACAAGGTAAAATTACATTATCTTTTAAAGTGTTATTACAAAAGAAAACTTTATTAAATAAAATTTTAAATGTATGGTCCCTTATTGTTATTATATCAGTCATTCGTAATTGTAATCTTAATTCTTTCTTTTAAAATAATAGTATAGTAAAAACTTTGAATATTTCCATATTGTTTGTGGAAATACCTTAAAATTTTTTTTCAATTAAAGTAACTGGTTTATAATGGTTTTTTGCTTTGATTTATATTTTATAGGTTCAGGAGTGCATCATTATATGTCAGCATTATATATATACACACACACATATATATATATATATATAATATACATCTGTACATAATACATTATTTTCATCACTAAAAATCTAATTCCATCCATTGAGTCACCATAGAGTTGACCCCTTTAGCTAATTTACTCACCTTCTTCGTCCTTCCTTTCTAACAATCACTGATTTCGTCTTACAGCTTTGTTTTTGCTTTACTTAGTTTATTTGTTTTGTTTTTGTATGACATGAGTGAAATCATAGTGTTGGTCTTTCTCTGACTTTACGAGCCGTCACCCACCCAGTCCTATCTCTGTTGTTTCAACTTTCACTATGGCTGAGTAGGATTCCTGTGTCTGTCCACACCATCCTTCTTTGTCCTGTCCTGCGCCAGTGCACATGCAGGCTGTTCTAACTCTTGGCTGTTGTGAATAATGCTGCAGGAAACATAGGGGTGCATGTATCTCTTCTGATTAGTGTTTTCGTATTTTTCAGGTAAATACACAGAAGCTGGATAATTGGATAAAACTAAATCTTATTAAGTAATTGACATGACATTTCAGCTCTAGAAATTGAGGAGACTTAGCCTATGTATTATCATAACATTTTATTTGTCTCAGGTTGTTAAAAGAGAGAAAAGTTGTTACAATCCAGATGTAAAGATGGATGATTAAGATGTCAGTTAAAAATAAATCAGATTTATTTAGAAATTGATAAATGGGTATATTTCAACATAATTTCATTGTTCTGTCTTTGGCCTAATTTTTATGCATTAAGGGCACCTTAACTTGGCACCACTAATGCCTTAATTATGTGTATCTTGAGTTTAAAAGTTATACAGATTTTAAACTACATTTAGAAATGTTTTAATTCCAATTTCCACACAATGACTGTTCCTCTGCCATTTGCCCATAGTTCATGCATTGAAAGTCACAAATGAAAGCCCTTGCTTTTTAATTAAATCATCTTATACCATAACTTTTCTCTATAGCTTTGCTTTTCATTAAGGTGTAGAAGAGGAGGATGGTTGAGTTTCCCTTTATTTTCCTTTATAATCATTTTAAGACTGACAGATGAGCTAATGACTGGAATTGGGAGTTGGAGATCACTTCTCCTTAGGAGCTTTCCTCATGCCAAGACTTGGTGCTGACTCACATAATGATAAAAGTAGTAAAGAAAGCAAGAAAGAAGAGGTGGGTTAATGGAGGTTCTGCTGGCATATGATGACATTTTAGAATATTCGTTTTTCCTTTGTTTTTTTTTTATTTTTTAAAGATATATTTATTTTATGCATACAAGAATGGGGTACAGGCCAGAGGTGCAGGGGGTGAGAGGATTCACCAGAGACAGAGTGGGGAACAGAACAGGCAGACTGACTGAAATACACTGCTGAGGGGAGCAGCGGGCAAGACAGGAGAGGTCTGCCTCACCATGTGGGTAGCTCCTGGCTGGGGATCGAATTAATGCTGCAGTGGCTGCAGATAGCTTCATAGTGCTGTGCTTAACCCCTTGCACCACCATGGAGGCTTTTTCCTTTGTTTTTTTTCAAAGGACTTTAAGAGTGAATGAATAATTCTGTGAGATATTAGGTAAACAATAGGCTTCTAACTTCATATGAGAATTTTCTCCTTTCCAAGCACAGGTACTTTTCTCTTAGTTATTTGATTATTTGGCACTTACTTTAATATCCTCAAATGATGTGCTTGACTTCCAGTATCAGGTCTGTCTGTGGGCTCCTTATTATTATGGGAGATCAGTTCCCACAGTTTCTACACCACTCTCAACCTTCATTTCCAGTGCACGCAATCTCTCCTTCCCTTTCCTTGTGCTCTTATAAAATTTATATATTTTTATCGTCATTTATATTAAGTTATTTAAGATTCATATAGTTTTGGTTAGGTAACTTTTCATATTTGAATATGTGTGAAGTATATACCAAGAAAGGAGCACAAAATGGAATTAAACAACTCTGATTTTTTATAAACTAAAAACATCTTGTAGTTGTATTCCTGAATGATCAAATACCCAGAAACAGATCAAGAAGATGTGGTATAGATACGCAATGGGAAATTATTCAGTGATCAAAAAGACAACTCATGCCATTTGTAACAGCATGGATGGAGCTAGAAGGAATAATGCTAAGTGAAATAAGCCAGAAGGAGAAGGATAAGTACTGGAGGGTATCACTAGTATGTAGAATGCAGGGAAGCCAAACTAAGGGTCAGATAAAGACAAGCTTAAAAACTAACCCTGGAAGGCTGACTACCGAACTGAAGCATCCAGAATGGGGAGAGGATGTCGGGGGGCGGGGGGGGGGTTAAGGGAAAGAGGGAAGGAAGCACAATGGACTGTTGTGCTGAACTGGGGGTGATTTGCTGGTGGATGTACTATGGGCATCCTCATATTACCTCAACTAAATAAATCATAAGTAAAATGAATAAATTGTTGTAAGTATATTATTTTTATAATGTGAAAATTCTGTTTTGTAGAGTTTTAATATATTTAGAGCATATTTCAGGGAGACAGGGAAATGGTTTACATTATAGTGGTGTGATTAGGATACAATCAGTATCTTTTCACTCTAGATTTCTGCCTTTTCTCCAATAACATGTATTTATTTTATAAATGCATTGAAAATATCTTCCAGATTACCCAATACAAATACGAAGTGGCACCGCCTACTCTTTCCTTTGGCTAGTTTAAAGCTTTATCTAGGATTGATTCCTGATAGACATTATTTGTTGTCATCTTCTTTCTTATCTTCATTATCATTCTTTATCATCGATGTTCATTCTTTGATTCATTTTTCACCCTCTGCAATCATAGTAGATACAAGTGATCCTGTGTAATTTGTGATATTGTCATGATGCTATTGATACTTAAATACTTCTCTACCATTGTGGTATCGAACTTGTTCACTTGGTTAGACCAAGGATTTTAAAGTTGGAATGTCTCAGCGAAATAAGCCAGAAAGAAAAAGAAAAATACCGGATGGTCTCACTCATAGCAGGAATCTAGAAAACTTAAATAAGGGACCAGGAAAATGAATAACTATAAGAAAGTGAAAATCAAAATCAACAAAAAACTATGAACCAGAGACACTTTTTGGGGGGTGGGGGGTGGGAGGGGAGGGATTGGGATCAGAATGGGGGGGTTGCAATTGTATGGGGAATATAAAAATAAAAGTTATTATTAAAAAAAAAAGTTGGAGAGAAAAAAAATAAAGTTGGAATGCCTTAACACTGAGTTTTGAGAACACTGAAGAAGCCACTGAGATTTGAGACTTTTCTAAAACATTTACTTAAGGTAACAGTTGTAGGAATTTCCATCTGGAATAGCACAGATGCTTGCCTTTTAGAGCAAATGTAGGTCAGCAATCTGCTGTGAGAGTTACAAGGTAAAATCCTTCAGGGTGACATTATGAAACCTACTTTCTCTTTGAATGTTAAAATGAAAATATGATGTGATTATTTCTTTGGCAAAAATATTGGTTTAGCATTTTTTTCCTCCAGACAATTCTATCTGGGAGATTAGGAGATGTGTGCTCTAAGTAGCTTGCAGATGTATGCTCTCTTGAAGTTTTTATACATCAAGTACTAACCCATGAACATACACAACAAATTTAGGGTAAGAAATAAGGCCTCTGACTGTAATTCAGCTGTTATATTGCTATATATTTTATCTTTCTGCTCAGACACCGTTTACCTCTTTTAAACATTTTCCTCTTTCCTGTGTTTTCTTTTCCCACTCCTGCTGTAGTGTGTGTTGGTGACAATCCATCTTTCAAGTTGGGTTGCAAACATAAATATGCTCCTTTTTGATAAACTGTCACTTACATGTTGGTTAATTCTTGTTCGGGGACAAAATTATCTATATGGTATAAAGATGTTAGCTGAGGATTGGACCTTCATAGACATTTGGGCCAGAGAATAAAGATGATGTTGATGTATAGCTAACATAATTTCTCATAAGCAATATCAGGATATTTCATCGGAAAATGATTTCCACATAAGAAACCTCACCAGAGGTTTAATTTTTCTAACAGTCGCCTAGTTAATTCAGTGTTTGCCAGTAATTGACATTTACTGACAGTCATGGACTTTTTGATGAAGACAGTATATATTTATTAGATACTATTTTGCAGTTTATAAAACATCTCACTTGAGAACAGGGATCAGAGGTGTCAAACAACTAAATTTTTGTTCACAGTCAGACAGCCCTAAATCTGCTGCCGGCTATAGGCTTTTCTGCATTCTGATGCACTGTACTTCTCTGCATCAGCTCAGTAATCTCAGGGAGTAAGTCTCTGGTCCAGGTTTGTAGTGCTTAAGGTTATGTTGCATTATTTGTAAATTGTCTGGCCTTAGAAGAGGTCGTCATTGTTAAATTATCTCAGGAATCACTTATGGAAATGACCTGATAGTTTCTTGTAAACCTCTTCCAGGGCCTGTGAGGAAAGACTCAGTACATATAGCAGGTCAATGGATGGACCTAAGCACCCCTTAAAATTTTGTCTGAACTTAAGTGCCTTTTAAAAAATGGTTTATGACTTTGGTTTGCCTTGGAAGCTAAAAGGACAAGAACGTTTTTTTTTCTCTTTTGTTCACTGATTTATTACAAGTTTTGGGAACAGTGGCTTTACACGTGGTTGGACAATAAACATTTGTTGAATGAATCTAGAGATAAGTTCTTTTTATGCTTCTAGAGTCAATATGTCAGTAAGTAGAACTGAGACTGTAAGGGTTGACAAAAGAAATCCCTGCCTTTTAGAAGCTTATATTTAGTGGAGAAAATCTAGAAGAGGACAGTTTATGATAATTTATTAATTGGTTACTTACTTGCTTTTCCTACCAGACTCTGAGCATCTTAAGGGTGCATCTTTGTCTGATCTTTGTGACTTTTTGAAATGAAAATGCAAAATATTGTTTTTTAAAATTGAAACAACATTGTACTATAACATGTGCATAATTATTAACCAACATGTGTACACAGTGCATTAAGTTTACTACCAAAAGTCCAAATCTATCCCTCACCGTACCATTGTACACCTTCCCCCTATTCCCTACTGTTCTCCTGGCACCCTCTTTGTGAGTTTTTAATATGCCTAGACCAATAACTAGCAAATGGTAGGTACCAAGTTAATTTAATGAAGGGGAAACTTTTAATAGCTTTAGTATGTCTAATTCAAATTGGTGTTTATGTTGTAACTTTCTCTCTGCTTGGTTTTTGTTTTCATTCATTTGTTTAATTTGATTATTAGTAATAAGGATCTATTTTAAGGTAGGTTTGTTTTTTTTTTTTTTTCCCCAACTCTGGCCAGAATAAAATTTGGCTAGGATAAACTTATCATTATATCTGAACTTCTTCCAATTCTGATTGTAATTCAGTGGTGATCTGGAGATTAAGTAGCGTTAATGCATTTTTTAAAACATCAGCACATTTGTATTTTATCTTGATATATGTCTATCAGAATGCCATCGTGGGGCATTCATAAAACTCGTTCTGTTTTATCCTTGTCCTTTCCATTGCCTGCCTTCTGCTCCCTATTGTACGCTTCCTTAGGTATTCATGCTCTCCATTTGCAGTGTTTTAAGGATGATCTTTTTCCTTATCCTGTTGGATTAATTTATGTTAATGCTTCATGTTGATTTAAAAGATGACTGGGATGTTCATTTACCTGCAACATAAAAGTTAAGACACAAAGGAAGTTTATGAAAAGGCAAATGTTCCTTTAAGATCTCTGAATTAGTTGGACCCTGTGTGTCTTGCATTTATATTATGTTCTGAGTGGCGCTACAAAGTTGCCTAATTTTCATATATTTTTCTCTTCCTCCTTCTCTATCCTTTTCTTCTTAAAGTTTTATGTTACCATATAGCACTTTAGATGATGATTCATCATTAAATAATTTTATTCTTTTTTTTTTTAGTGTTAAGTTTTGAAAAAAACTTAGTAATTTGCATATTGTGTTTGGTTTTCTGTGCTTTCTAGATTCCTTTTTTTTCTTTCTTCAAAATGTATTCAAAGGGCTACTTGTGTTCCTGTACTGGGAGGCTGATACATTTTGGACCAATATGTGGAAAGCACCTCAAGTACTTGTGCCCAAGCATGTTAGCTTTCTGTCCTATATGTATTTTTTATATTACAGTGATAGTGGGGATAAAAGGAGTTTAGAATCAGATCTCAAACAAAGACTTAAATACTCCTGTTCAAAGACAGAAACTATGGATACATTGTAATATTGAGTACTGTGTATATGCTATATAAAGAGAAGCCAGAGCGTATGTGAAGAGATATGTGTGTGTCTATCTATCTATCTATCTATCTATCTATCTATCTATCTATCTATCTATCAATCACACAATTTGCTTTAGTTTCATCTGTCTTTTCATGTAAGAGTAAGTAGTTAAAGAGGCTCTTAGCCGCAAAATTACTTTAAAGACTTTTCCAAGTAAAATAAGAGAACTTGTGTTATTATTGGTGTCAGTTCGGTCACCATTTTGAAGCTGTGCTTTACTAATCTTTAATAAGGAACAAACTGGTAGTAGGTACAGCAGCCTTTCTGTTTTAAGAAGTCAAATGCATGCCTATGCTTTATGGTATAAAACTTTGCTGTTCAGTGCTATACATCACTTCTTCAGATTTATTATTTGTCTTTAAATCTTGGGCTTTTCATTTTGGAAGTGGTACTTTTTCCTTCTAATTTTTGTTCCTGTTTTCCTCCCTATATGTTGACTATTTTAAAAGCTCTAGCGGACTTTCATTTTAATAGTCTCAGTTATGAAAGTTCTAGTTTCTGTATTTTCACCTATGAGGTAGTCTGAGTAAATTAATTTTTTTGGTGGTGATGCAGAGATTTTTCAATTATAGAAAATATTATTCCTTGACTTTCATTGCACTGCTTTTAATGGCCAGCAAATTTACTAAAGGAAGGTATTAATGTCTTTTTCTATATGCAATGTCATTTGAATAGGACACCAAATATATACCTAGAATTTGTTTATTTCTCTCGTTAAAAAGTTACATATATTAAACATTATTCTGTTAACTCATAATATATTGTAGTAATTTTGCTAGAAACATTTCTAACGACCTTTAGATTTGACTTAGAGAATATAGTTTCCACTGCTTATTTGATTTAGCTATCAGTCCTAAACTTTTATTTACTTATACTGAATTTCCTCAGTCTGTCATTCTAGTTTCCTTTAAGAATTAAGGATAAGGGCCTCCCCTGGTGGCGCAGTGGTTGAGCGCTGGGCTTGCGAAGCTCCCCGCAGCCTCTGCAGCATTGGTTCGGTCCCTGGCCACCGGTGAGGGTCCCACATGGTGTGACAGACCTCTCCTGCATGGTGTGACAGACCTCTCCTGCCGTGCTCACTGCTCCCCTCAGCAGTGTATTTTGTCAGTCTGCTTGTACTGCTACCCGCTCTGGCTCTGGTGAATTCTCTAATCCTCCCACGCTTCTGACTGTACCCAGTGCTTGTATAAATAAATAAATCTTTAAAAAAAATAAAAAAAGAATTAAGGATAAAACCAGACAGAGCTGAAGTATAATAATAATTTCTCCTTTTAAAGTGTGAAATTAGAGGAAAGTCTTAATTGTTGGTGTTAGAAACCACCAAAGGAACTTTCTCAACAATCTTGGTAGATGAAAGCTGTAACCTGAAAATTTATTTCTTGCCACCATGGCTTATCTACTTTTTGCATGGGGAAATGAATATTTTTAGGCCATAATAACTGAAATTATAATTAAAAATGATCAAAAGAAAAATACTCAATGGACTATAGAAATATTTGGAACTTCTTTGCAAGGTAACAGTGGAATTCTTTGATCTCATGAAGTATACAATTAGGAGCAACTCTGTTGCTTTTCTAAGGTAACATAATAATTGTAATTTCATAAAGAACTAAAAACAGTTCTCTTATAATAAAAATTTATAATTTCCCAGCTAAAATGTTCATGTGTTCAAGATCTGTTTCTTAGGTTTACAGAGTTGGATTTTCTGGTTTTTATTACTGTTCATGTACTTCTTTTAGTTCTACTGTTTAGCTCACACGTGCCTGATTGTCATTATGATGCATTCGTGTGGAAATTATGAAAAGTTGTTGTCATGCAGCTGTCCTGTAGGTACAAAAGAACTTCACTGCATGAAAAGCAAACATATCATTCAGCAGACAATGCTTAATCTGTTCAGGAGCCCAAACCTTTTGCTGTTCAATGACAGAAGAAAGGAGAGGGATTAATTTGAAGATGCTTGTGCATGACATATGGTAATTTCTCCATAGGAAGGAAGTGTCAAACGGTGACCTCTAAATCTTAACGTTGACCTCCAGTTGTAGAATGTCTGTGCCATACGGTCCTTTTGCCTTTTCATATGATAATTTAAGCTGAAACATTTTCTGGTGACATAACTTTTATAGGGGTGGGGGGTGATTTGCATCTATTCTATAAGGATTATAACATGCACAGTAATTATTTTTGGACTGTAAAGCATTTGCAGCATAAATATATTTTTTATACTGCAAAGAATGAGCCTATATTTGGATTTATTTAACGAGAGTTCAGTATAGTATTCATATTCTGTATAAGTTGGTATATTTTAAATTGAATTTTTATAATATGAGGGTATAAAATTGAAATGATCTTCAGGGATATTGGTTTGAGATTAAAAAATAATCTGCCCATCCTTTTAGGAAGTAAATTATTAGAAAAAAAATGTAATCGACAACCTATGAAGATGTATTCTAAATATTGAATTACGTATTTGCTAATTCTTAATATGTTTATTGTCATCTTTCATTATAGCCCTAGTTATTTTTAGAACTTTTTTTTTGTACTAGCTGACCTATCATTCAACTATATTATTAAATAGATTTTTGATTTTAAGAGGAATTTGAACTACATTGTGATAACTATTCAATAAAATATACCATTTCCCCTCTGTAATCCTTAACAATCACACCTTTCTGATTAAAACATCATTTTTTAGTTCTACATTTCCTATATCTTGCCCACTTTGTTTTTCATTCTTCACTAATACTGAGCTTTTTTTCAGAAACTGCTGTACCTCAGTTCTCTCCTTTTTATTTCTTCTCTTTCCCTCTGCAAGTTGCTGTGCCTGTCGTTTCTGCTCGGTCTGACGCTGATCACTCTGGCTGTGACCCTGCTCCTCCTCCTGCTTTACATTCCTGTTTCTTAGTAAATGAAGGTATTCACTCTCAACTTCCTAACAACTATCCTTCAGTCTGTGCTTTATTCTGATATGACATGTTCTTTTAATCTGATTTATACATTCACCTGCTTTGTTATGTGTACAACCCTAAAGGTTCAATTTTATATCTGCATTTGCCAATGTCAATGTCAAGGACCAGTTGTAAAAGTATAAGGTCATTCCTGGCTGATGTAGACCGTGTTTCCTGTGATCTGCTAAAGAAGTGCAGAGATGCTTGTCTTTGATGTGAAATAGGTATTCAAAGGTAGACCGTTTCTCATGATGGCATTTGCCTCTGGCCTCTAGTGTCAGAGCCAATTAATTTATTTTACCTGTATCAATACTCTGTGACATTCTTTGCCCCCTTCATACACTAGGTGCACTGATTAGAGGAGAACCTGATGGGTCCTCTTAATCTGCATTCTCATTTGCAAAGTCTTCAGATTGATGATTATCACCAGTCATAAACAGATAGGAATTCACTTATTCTCCTTACTATTTCTCTTTCTGGCCAACTCAAAAATCCATAATTTCCATTTTTAAATTGAAAAAAAAAAAATGTATTTGGCTACCCTACTCTCCCGGTGGAGTAATACTAGTAGGAAGTACATTTGGAGCCTAGAAACTGAGTGGAATCCATGAACCTTAGTTCCCTGAGAGTCATTTGGGCTCATGTACACTGTCTGGAAGCTTAGTAGAACTTGTGAGCTCTGAGTTGTTTATCTGCTCTCTTCATGGTGGGCTCAAGCTTCACCTTTGCATAATATACAAAGGGGGAACTTCACAAAATCTCAACTCTAACCCAAACTCTCATCTCTAACTCTAATCTCTATTGATTCTGTGTCTTCACTGAAATGCTATATTATCATTTCATTCAAATGGAAATAATGGTGCAAAACCTGTAAAGTGCAGAGCCCTATTCCTTTAGGAAGAAAACATAGGCGCTTAAAAGTATTGCTGTGTTAGGTTAGTTTCCTTGTCACAGATCTGTACTAAGGTTTGTATGTGTAGGCTAGACTGTAGCAAAAATAATTAGGGTCATATTTGTTACACTGTTAGAAAACATACACATTTGTTAATTAAAAAATTAGCCATTAGAATTGAGACCTAGGTGAGAATCAACACATTAACATTTACTCATAACTGTACTTCATACATATATACACCTCTGTTGAAAATAAATTACAACATAAGATGTGCAGGCTAGTCATCTTAAATAATATGATTATATATTCTGAGTTGATGAGAATTTCCTTGCTGAAAGGATGAATCTTTAGGTAGGCTTGTCTCCGCTCACTTTTTTTTTTTTTTAAAAACAATCCCAGCAAACATTTTGAATTCTACAGTAGGGTTTTTATTGTTGTTGTATAAGATGACATTCAGATTATTTCAAAATACCTATGATCACAGATAATTCACAATGTAATATGGTAGTTAACGATTTTTCTGTATCCAGTTTTAATTGTCTTTAAATATTTTCCCACAGAGCTAATAGTAATTATTGTGGATTAATGGTGACTTCATAGATAATGAAGGCATTTATTGTGTTTGTATTTCTCATAACTTTTAAAGTAGGATGAAATGATTACCTGGGAATGTCTGGATACCAATACTTTTAAATATTACTGTGATTTATAGTTTACAGTTACATAAATCTTCTTTATAAAACCAAGTTTCATATTGTGAATTAGGATTTTGGGAAACATAACTTTTATTCCCTCAGATTATAGTTAGTGAGCCTCAAAATTTTATAAAGTTTGCAATGTCTGGTTTTTATTTTGTAGAATGAATTCAATTTTCCTCTCAAAATTGGTGTTATGTTACTTATTTCAGTTATGATTTGTGATTAAATGACTGGTTCATTTTCTAAGAAATGGGATCATTAAGTGCCTTAGTTACAGACCCTCTGACAGAGAAGGAAAGTAATCTCTGTTGACTGACAGTGGTGACACACACAGGTGGGCAGGCCTTAGAGACCAGCTTGTCCTCACATGTCTTTGTGAATATCCTTTTAAGTGAATGTGCTTTTAAATGTCAAGGCCGAGTACATGTTTATTTCTATACTTTCCCATCCCTGAATGTATATTTTCTTTTAGAGAGACTATTTAGAAATGTGTTTTCCTGGTGGACATCTACATACTTTATGAGAAAACTTATTTTTGTTATAAAACTTGGGGAGTTCTTGTAAGTCCCAGTTACATGATCTAGAGATGAAAAACATTTGCTGTAATTCTTTGTACAGAATGTCTAATAATAAATTGAGATCATTTATAATATAACTTATCAGACTTGCTCTGTGTGTGTGTGTGTGTGTGTGTTGGGTATACTTATAGAAAGAGAATTCTTTGAAAGGGGACTTCCACAACGTCTAAAGTGTGTGTGACATGTTGCCTTTCAACAGGGTGGAGCCAGCTGGCCGCCATGCACTGTGTCATGCTGCCGGACCTGCTGGGCTTGGACAAGTTCCGGCCCCCTCTTCTCGAAATGCTGGCTCGCAGGTGGCAGGATCGATGCTTGGAGGTAATGTTGTGGTGCTGTGGGTAGAAACGAAAAACATTAAAAAGGCACTGGACTCATGTAAATTTGAAAAAAAATTCATTGTTTGCATGGGTTTTTGATTTTCAGCGTACACACAACACGGCAGTGTTCCGGATTGCTTGTTTCTTCACTTTTTTTGTTTTAATCCAGTGACTTGTTTGGTAGAAAGTTTCATATACTGTGTGGACTGCCTCTCATGCACTTGTTTTTTACACACATGCACATATACCTACATCCATCCCCAAACCACACACTCAGATATAATCACATCCAATCTAAGCAAATAGCCATAATTCAAAGGTAGAGTCTGCGTTATAATAAAAGAAGGTCTTTGGAATTAGAAGAAACCTAGGTTTAACTATCAGCTCTGCTAACTATTAACTTTGTGATCCTGGGCAATTTACTTAACTTATTTGAAGAACATTTGTAAAGTGGGCATCAATATATAATTATCATGGGATTGCTATTAGGATCAAGCAAGATATGCAAGTAAAACAGGAAGTACAGAGGCTGACACATGGTAGGAGCTCAAAAAATAATAACTATTTTGTGTTAATGTATTAGATATTGCTTAGAATATAACATCACCAGGGACTTGCAAATGTTTTATAGAAGTTTTCCTTATTATGGTATTTGACCTTTGTAGATACAGAAATTTGTGCCATTCAAAATTTTTAATTTGGGCCTCCCCAGTGGCGCAGCAGGTTGAGCGCCATGCTATGAAGCTGTCCACAGCCTCTGCAGCACGGGTTCAATTCCCGGCCAGGGAGAAACCCACATAGCACGGCAGACCTCTCCTGCCTTGCCCGCTGCTCCCCTCAGCAGTGTCTTTGGTCTGTCTGCCTGTTCTGCTCCCCGCTGTGGCTCTGGTGAATTCTCTCACCCTCCCTTGCCTCTGACCTATACCCCAGTTCTTGTATAAATAAATAAATCTTTTTAAAAAAAAAGGTAAAAATTTTTAATTTACCAAACATAAATAAAGTATTTGACCATTCCTGGTCTCCCTTCCAATTCCAAGTAGGATTGCAGCATATTAAAGTTTTCATGGTTTTGTGTTGAATAGTATTTGAATTCACCTCAAAGGCCAGTTATAATTAAAAACTTATTTTGGTTCGGGCCTCCCCAGTGGCGCAGCGGTTGAGCTCTGGGTTGCGAAGCTGCCCGCAGCCTCCGCGGCGCCGGTTCGATCCCCGGCTGCTCCCCGGCCACTGGAGGAGGGTCCCACATGGCGCGCAGACCTCTCCTGCCGCCCGCTGCTCCCCTCAGCAGTGTACTTCGGTCCTTCTGCCTGCTCTGCTCCCCACTCTGGCTCTGGTGAATTCTCTCACCCTCCCGCGCTTCTGACTGTACCCAGTGCATGTATAAAAAACAAACAAACAAACAAACAAACAAATAAATAAATAAAAAACATGCCTCTTTAAAAAAAAAAAAAACTTATTTTGGTTCAAACGCTTATCAGATACTGCTAAATTATTTTTCAAATACAAATAGTAAATTGACTGGTACACTACTGAACAAATGACTAGTTTCTTTGTCCCCTCAATGATACTTTTGTCAAAATAAGAAAAACCTAACTGAAACTATAAAACAAAATTGTATGTCACATTGGAAAAAAAAATACTGTAATTTTAAAAAATAGTTCCCTTCTATAGAATTAATGCTGTTCTCTTGTTTGTTGACAACTATTTGTTTAAACATAGGTATACATGAATTGTGTGGATTTATCCTAAGTGTTTAGTAAATAATACCTGTTTAGCATATATAATATAAAAAAATTCACTAGAAAAGGCTATGTTTCAAGTTAAAACAGAATAAATTTAATAGTTCTAAGTGACTTTTGTCAATAGTATGTGTGAATTTAAAAAATTGAAAATGCTAAATTAAAATCAAGAATGTTTTGACAGCTTTGGAAAATGAAATTTTTTTTTTTTAATTTTTTTTTTTTTGTTCTTTTATAGAGGCATGTTTTATTTATTTATTTGTTTGTTTGTTCGTTTGTTTCGTTTATACATGCACTGGGTACAGTCAGAAGCGTGGGAGGGTGAGAGAATTCACCAGAGCCAGAGCGGGGAGCAGAGCAGGCAGAAGGACCGAAGTACACTGCTGAGGGGAGCAGCGGGCGGCAGGAGAGGTCTGCGCGCCATGTGGGACCCTCCTCCGGTGGCCGGGGAGCAGCCGGGGATCGAACCAGCGCTGCAGAGGCTGCGGGCAGCTTCGCAACCCAGCACTCAACCGCTGCGCCACCGGGGAGGCCCGGAAAATGAAATTTTTAACCGAAAGCTTAAGATTGAATGTGCTAACAGAAACCTATTAGTGTTAAAATATGTTTCAGTGAGATCATGAATTAAAATGTCTTTCATGATTTGCTAGCATCCAATTTATTCCACTCAGTGCTTAATTTGGTTGGTAGTTTTTCTCATGTAAATAAAGGTAGTCTTTATATTTTCTAGTTTTCCTTCATTGTGAACTTTTCAGTTTTTAAGCACCTCACCAACTGATCTGCTTTCTTTTTGTTGCATTTGGGTCTGTGGACTTCAAAGGTCCGAGAAGCCGCTCAAGCCCTCCTCCTGGCAGAACTGAGAAGAATTGAGCAGGCGGGACGCAAGGAAGCCATTGACGCCTGGGCTCCTTATTTACCTCAGTATATGGACCACGTCATATCCCGTAAGAGTCCTCATGCTTTCCTACAAAGCTTTTGATGCACATGTAGAAAAAATTACCCAAAGTCATAATTGTACATGCTCCTTACCTATCAACACTAGTAAATTGTTTACCTTACAGTGAAAACTGGTGGCTCAAATTCTGCTCATGCATTTTCTAAATCTCTGCAGTTCGGGGTTTGGTGTTAAAATAAACAAACAATCCAAGAATTATGTAAATACCAAATTTTTCATGAATGGACTGATTCCTTATAAAATGAATCCCCAGTCAAAAGCCCTGCCTTATTTAACAGTCGCATCTGCCTCTGCCCACTGCAGCAGTGCACTTGTACTGCTGACTGGGTAGATAATGATCTAATGATATGCACGGGCAAATACAAGGCAGAGCCTTTGCAAGTTGAAGTTGGAATTGTGAATCCTTAAAAAACAAGGATCTGGTAGAAAGAGAGATGGGTGTGCTCTTGAAAAAGAGAAAATTAACAAGGAATTTGACAGATATGTCTTTCAGAAGAGTATGATTTGAATGGGTTGGGAAAGGCCTTGTGGAAAATGTTGACATTCTTGAATATATTTTGCAAAATAAAAAGTTTGTAATAAACAAAGGAACAGACAAAACTAAACCAAAGCAGGCAGGAATCTGACTGTAGGATTGAGGCTACTAGAGTGGGAAGGTGAGAGAGGGAGGAGCATAGGGGGAGGGGACCCAATATTAGAAGGTCATGGGTACTTTGGTGGCGGGAGTGGTGGTAACATACATGAATAGAGGGGTGAACCCACACCCTACGTCATACACAGCATTGCAAATCAACGTTACCTCAATAAAAATAATGCAATCTAAAAAAAATAAGTAAACACTCCTTTAAGATAAAAAAATGTTGTAATAATGCTGCTAGGTCAAATGTGAGTTGAAGAAGGGCTTCAACTGGGCCATCATTATTTTTTTCTTCTTGAAAAATGTGTGCTTCATCTCCAATTCATTTTTTTTTTTATAGAGGCATGTTATTTATTTATTTATTTGTTTGTTTGTTTTGTTTATACATGCACTGGGTACAGTCAGAAGCGCGGGAGGGTGAGAGAATTCACCAGAGCCAAAGCGGGGAGCAGAGCAGGCAGAAGGACCGAAGTACACTGCAGAGGGGAGCAGTGGGTGGCAGGAGAGGTCTGCGCGCCATGTGGGACCCTCCTCTGGTGGCCGGGGAGCAGCCGGGGATCAAACCGGCGCCACAGAGGCCGCAGGCAGCTTCGCAACCTAGCGCTCAACCACTGTGCCACCGGGGAGGCCCTCCAATTCATTCTTTATTAGTCCATGAGTTTTCAGAATTAAAATTTTAAATTATATTGTGTATAAGATTATATCAGTTTCACTTTCTTACAGTTTCAATGAAACTGAAAAATAACTTTTTACTGTGAAAATTTGACCTGGATTTTAGGTGGATTCATTTGAAACGAGCTTTTTTTTTGCCTATACAAGTTATTCTTGGTAATGGATTTCTCATTAATATGCCAAGACAGACAATACATGAAAGAAAATGAAAACAAGCTTCAGAGAAGATTATAATTTTTATAGCTGTTTGCCAGTGGTGACTATAGTTGTTTAATTAGGTAAATGAACTTGAACACTTAACCTTTCTTCGCCTTAGTTTTGTCACAGAAAAAATGAAGATGATAGTAAGACTATATAGGATTATTTTGAGTAGGGAATGATTTAATATTTGTTAAGCACATGGAACAGTGACTAGGTCATAGTAAGCACTATATAGTTGTTAAATAAATGCATTTATAATCTATAACAGTGTAATTATATATTCGACATATAACTAAAATATCGCACATAAACAACTCTGTTAAAATCCATTAATCTGTTCAAGTAGAGGACTATTTACTGAGAGAATAGGTGCATTTGTGCAGTGGGAATTTTTTAATTTTAATAAAAGGAAATTAAGTCTAAAAACCAGAGTCTTTAGACACATGGACTCTAAGTATTAGTACTAAAGTTCTTGGGTAAATATAAGTTTAAAAAATAAACTTCTAGAATTATTTAAAAAAAGTAAAAATTAAGATTAGGATAAAACTGTTTTTGAGCATTTGGAGAGTATGAAATAGTGCTTTTTGTTCAGTAACTTGTGGCTATCAACTTCATAAAATAACTCCCAAAATACAATTAGCTAATCAGCTCATCATAACCTTATTAAATATCAATAGAAGATCCCAAACTTAAGGACAAACTATAGATTAGGTTGAAGGTGAAACTAAATAGCAATTCACTAAAGATTCTTTCAAAAGGAATATGCTATTATATTGTAGAAATATTGTGAAGTATTTTTCAAGACATTTTATGGACTAGCATAGTGCGGGAGAATCCAGGACAGTAGTCAGTATAAGGGAGGCTGTTGCAGAAGGGATGTGACACCCAGACCTAAGTATAGATTGAGTAGAATAAAGATCATTTTAAGCCTTGATTACAAATTGCATATAAAGGTTTAAGAAAAAAACAAAGATTATTATAGTCTTGTGTTGTTTGGGAAGAGAGGTACCATTAACAATAGTGGTGGAAGCCTCTTTTTTTTTTTTTTTTTTTTTTTTCAGGAAAAAAGAGAATGAATTAGCTCCAAGTAGAGGCATAATACAGCCACACATACTCCCTGAAGCAATGAATTAAAGAATGAATACTTTGCTAGGTGAGAGGTCTGTTAGTTGGTCTAGAGAGGATACAGAATTAGTAAAATAATGACAATATGTACCACTAATTGAACACCTTCTCGGCCAGTCTTTGCTAAATATTTGGTTTGTGTTGTCTTTTTCAACCATTGCAATAACCTTGTAAAGTAGGTACTATTGTCACCACCGCCGTCCGGCTTTTCTTCCTCAGTCCTCCCAGAGGCGTTAATTGAGACTAAGAAATTAATGAACTTTTTGAATTTTTTGAAGGCCCCCATTTTTTAGTGACTATCACTACTCATTCTTTTCACCCCTATTTCCTTTTCTTTTAGCATTCTGAGGTCTTAAATGGGGATGAGAGGAGGAAGAGTGAGTAGATAGTTGACTTAGTTAATACTGCTAATTGATAAGTAAATAAATGATAGTGTCATTTCCAAATATATTAAATCCAACAACAGTGAAATAGAACAGAAAAATAACTAAGAAAATCACTCTTTGTGATCCTCATCATTGTCAAAAAAGCATAAGTTAGGTTGCTCTTAGCTAAAATTGAAATCTTTTCATCTAGGTAATTATAATCCTTAGTATTTCATTATAGTATCTTGGAGTACTTTATCAATTAACTGAATGCTGGCTTACAATTTCACTTATCATAATTGTATTTTTAGTGAAAGAATAAATGAACACTCATTCCACATGTAACCAAATCATCTTACACCATCAACTCTTGATATAATATACTAATCTATTCTGAAACTTTCACATTGACTGAGTGTAAAATTAGCTTTAGTTTGCTTTACTGGGAGCTTTCTATTTTAATAAAAGGATGTCAAGCTAAAGGAGTGGGGATTCTGAATGTGTGAAAGGAGAAGAAAGCACACAACAAATGAGGAATGACCACATAGGGCTGTTGAACAGATTTGCTGTCCAAAGGGATCAGAAGGTTATGGAGCCAGCTGGTGGGCAGCCCACACCTGCCATCAACATGCTTGTAGTGAAATCGCTGCTACCATTGTCACTAATGTTTCCGGAGGTGATTATTATAACAAGTTATAGCATAAAGCTTTACTTTAGAAACCTAAAAGGTATTCGAGCATAGAAACCTTTTTAATCATCAAAATGGGTAAATTATTAAGCAATATATCTGGGAAATATCCAGTCATCAGGCCTTTTCTTATCATTTAATCATCTGAAGCATTCAAAAATATGCAATAATCACCTAAGCAGTATTGGCAGTTCCTGACTTATGACTGGTTCAAGAGTCCCTTATTTAGATATTTGTCGGAAACTCAGAAAATGTTTTTACTGAAGAACAGAATGTCATACTAGGCTGATCTTAGAGATTTAAAGTCTGAGGTTTAAAGTGGGTAGTAACTTTCTCTGATTTCATAGTCATTAAGTGATTGAGCTAGGACTAAGATGACAACTCAATCAACTGGTCATATTGAATGGGTTCCTCTGGAATTTTCTTTAGGCACATTTTGCAATAATGTGGAAGGCTTTTGGATATTTGTTTGAGAACTTCAGGAAAGCAAGGGGCCAGAGTCATTTGCGTGTCTTAGGATAGTTGAGACCATTAAAGGAGAAACTTTTTGTACGGCATGCAGGATAGCGCATATTTCACGTTCCTATTGGCTGGCAGCCCCCTTCCTACACTGGTTTCTAACATTATGGTCACTGTTTCAGAATTTGCTTTATGTTGTTCAGGGATTCTGTCAGTAGACATGAAATCACTGGGAAGGAATAAAGGAGCAATAGCCAACTTTAACTGGAAAGCCAGTTCACAAATTTTCATAAAACTAATTCCTTGTGGAATGATACAAGAATTTTGCAGTGAGAACACATTCTTTTATCCTTTACAAATATAGTCAGTATATAAACATTTGATTCCTAATTTCTGATAGAAAATTTGAGGATAAGTGTATTATTCTAATGGTAACAGTAGTCAAATGATAAGTAATGTATATGTACTTAAAATAGTGAATATAAAGATTCTATTTTCTGAATTACAGCCCATTAGGATGTCTTTGTAACTACTTTCATGTTCCAAAACACTTTTTAAAATTTATTTTGGCTATTCTTACTATGGAAGGATTTATGTTATTTTTTGAAACTGTTGTGTTACAATGTGGATAAAGATAAAATGTAAGTTGTCTCAGTTTATTTTGAAGGCAAGATGCTTTGCAGAACTCAATTTTAAGTGTCTCTTATTTGTGACATTCTACATGTAGCATTTTGATGATTGACTTTTTTATGAGGTCAAGCACCTGCTAGTTTATGAAATATACCCACACTTGCCCTTCATTCCAGGCAGTGACTACTGTGAGGTAAATGCTGATGGTTCCT